GTCTTGTTCTCTGTAGGCTACTTCCTTTCACTGCAGGAGCCCAGAATTTAGCTGCAGGATTAGAGAAACTGGGGATGCTCCCCCTTCCTCCATATGGGATACCAAGAGGCTCTATTACCTGCAATTAGGGCTTGATGGCTTTTGAAAGACTCTTCCCCCTCCACTACTTTCATCTTGATCACTGGAGCACTTCAAAGGAGCTGGAGCTGGTTGGGACTCACATGAGCGCACATATAAGGCATCATCGATGGATTTACAAGGGCTGCACATCAAAGCCCTGGAGCCTGTCTTCCTCTCCCACAGTGAAAATGAGAGAAAACAGCAGAAAGATTGCTGGTCGCTGCTGTTTTTATTAAGGAGTGGGACCAGCACTGGCAAAAGGGCTTGTGGTAATATTTCTGATCCCCAAAGCAAATTTCTGTTATAAGACTGAAAGAAATGTGATTGCTCAATTTGGCAGAGATTCTCATACTCTTCTAATCAAGGCTTAAGAAGAGCTTCAAGGCTGAACAGTGGGATTATTACCAGATAAGGCCCACGAAGAACAGGAGAAAAGCACAGGTTTTGACCATTAAAACAGCAAATGAAGAAAAGACAAACTGTTATTTCTTTCAGGTCCATTGCTCCAACAAAATCAATGCCCCGCCCAGCTCCTTTTACGTTTAGTGAAATTGGGAGACCTAATAATAATAATAATACTTTTATTTCTGTCAGCCCTGAGACCAGGTTCTTCAGACAGGGTACATTGAATCTCAGATACCAAAATTAAAGAAAAGGTTCCAACTGTTTGGTTCTGTTTATTTGGGTGGTTGGACTCTATAATCTCTCTCCCTGACAAGCAACAGTGATCAAGGTCTGTGCCTCATCTGGTGCAAAGCTCTCTAGAAAAGAGATTAGTTATTAGGAAGTATCAACAAAAAAAGCCTCTTCCGTTAACTCAGGGATAGGCACCCTGCAGACCCCAAGTCCCTTTTTTGCAGTCCCTCTCCTCTGACTTAATTACAGGGACAGAAAATGCATGAAAAGTTTTGTGTAAGCACTAAAATAGCTTAAACAGGTTTAAAATGTCCAAAGTAAGACCTCAATTTCCCCTTCAAAATCAGGGGGGAAAAAAGCAGTAATCTCCGTTCAGCCCCTGTGTATCTTCACACCATTCCACTTCAGCTCTTGGGCTTTTCTCAAAAGCTCAGCTGAGAGTTCCTTGCATTGCTCCAGTTCTTTCCCTTCTGATTTGGGGAAATCTAACCTTTTTGCTAGTGTCTTTAATTGTGGAAATAAATTGTTTCTAATATCTCTAATTCTCATTTTTTAATTTCATTTTCCTAAGAGACCTCAATAGTTGATAGTATGTTAACTTGAATGCAAGAAAGAATGAATGTGGCCCTTAGTTAACATAAAATATAATGAATCCTTTTCACAATTTACATTAACATATTTATGAAGAGAAACCAAAATGAGAGCTTGATACTTGGCTGAAAGCATCTGAATAAATTCCTCATATCATGAAAGTTCTTAATGAAGATTGTCTTCTGCTCATTCTACCATGTAGGTACAAAAAAGTCCAAATAAAACGTGTTATCTTAACCTAATCCAGCATTCCTAGGAATGGGTATAATTGGTTTATTAGCTTAAACTGTATAAAAGCATCACTGAAATCTGGTTAGCCTAATTCAGGATTTAACCCAGAGGATGATCAAATGCAAAGCTCAGTTTTCAAGAAAAAAGCTTTATTTAACCTCAGGAGGTTGGGTTAGTCTAGATCAGGGGTAGGCAACCTTGGCTCTTTTATGACTCGTGGACTTCAACTCCCAGAATTCCTGAGCCAGCATGGCTTAGCTTGGAAACCTCTCCCTTTCCCCTCAGTGTGGCTAGCTCAGGAATTCTGGGAGTTGAAGTCCATGAGTCATAAAAGAGCCAAGGTTGCCTACCCCTGGTCTAGATAAAAGGTTTCCTTGAGCCGAAATCCTGACGACTACATGGACGTCTCCATGTAGTTTACTTGGCAACAGGGTGGAAATGCTTCCCAAAGCTATTGCTTTCTTCTGATATGTTTGTGTTGACTATTGCTTTAGCCTATAGCCCCTGGATTTGCTATGGTCCAAACCACAAATGCCAAAATTACTTCCTCTAGAAATTGCACAATTAACATTCTTGAGAGATTGGGGGTAAATTAAAAACACAATGTAAGTTCTGTCTGAACAATTTTTGACTAATCACCAGTGAACAGAGGTACCCTCCAGATAAGTTGAGATTCTGCCCTCTTTTACTCTAGTATGAAAATCAAGGAAGGGAAGGGGAGGGAAGGGAAGGAAATTTCTGGAACCCTGATCAAGAGGCGAATCTCCAGTGAAAAGAAATTGGCTGTGTTTGAGGAGACCTAGTGTGAAGAGTTATTCACAGAATCCTCATATTCCACAGAAAACAATTTGAAAAACCTTGATAATAGAGGATCATTGTGAATGGTGGCAGAAGAGATTATATACAAAGTTGAAACCACAGTAACCTTATATATAATAGCTCCCTCTGGCCCCAGATCAGAAACACAGTGAGTCTCCATTAAGTTGGCACTGTTCCTTTCTCACTTTTAACTGGATTAAAACTGCTGTGACCAACCACTGAGAACAGGCTTTCTGGCTAGCCATCAAAAGGCTTCAATGCTACTTTTAATTGTTTTGACCAGGAAAGCTACTTTTACCACCTGCTTCCTTCCTGGCTGTATTATGCTCTTTGACCTTTCTTTGGAAAGAAGGAAATGGACTGAAATGTGGCTTGTTTATCTATATTCAGAGAGAGGCAGGCAGGTTTTGGAGGGGGATCTTCAACCTGCAGTTATATCCACTAAACCAATAGGAGATGGCAGAAGAGGAAGCTTAATAAATCAGTGGGAAACAAAATTTGCAAAGTACACAAGCAGCTCGGACAGACTTCGACTTGCTTGAAGTACGTCACTGACCTAATTAATGGAATAATAACCCCCTCTGGTCTCCATATAAGACAACTTAAAGTTTATAACAAGTAGGGTTACCAGATATCTGAACAGGCAGAGAAGGACATGAATAATTAGAAAGAAGGACAAGTGTGGGGGGGAAACAAAGATACACTAACTGTGATATCCTTGACAAAAATCACAGCGAGAAATGCAAAAAATGTATTTAGGCCTACATGTACTGGTATATTAAATTATATTTTCCAGCATCAGAAATATTGATTTTTCAATCACAGTATTTTCCCAACAAATCTTTATTTTATGCTATCAATAACATAAAATTAGCAATTTTCAAATTCTACTACAGACTCATGTGATCTACAGACTACAGCAACTGTGGATTTGAAGGGGTTGGATAAAAACTGATTGATGGAAACAGGAGATAAATTAAATAATGTAAATCTAAGCTGTCAAGTCTGTTGACAGACTAGAGAAAGAAAAAATAGGCAATGTACAAGTCATAATATATGAAAGTTTAAATGACTACTGTTGTGAAAACAGTCTCCCCTCAAAGCACCAACATAAAAAGCTGGATAATATTTAATTTTAAGGCTAAACCTGCTAGACAGAGGACATGAGGACCCAAAGGTGTGTTTGCCTTTTGCCAGACGTTTGACAACCCTAGTAACAAGAAAGTTTCCCTACTGAAAAAATAAAGTTCACAATATTCTATTGGAATTATGTCTCCAAAGGCTGGGATCTTTGATTAATGTGACAGAAAATTTATTTCAAGCAATCTTTAATACTTTTTTTATTAAAAGTATTCATAGCAGTCTGACATGTAATGTAAAATAATATTAAATAATAATCAACATGTAATATAGATTATACGCAAAAGGTCCTAGATATATTCTTTAGCTATAGGTCTGTTTTAAAAGGCTAGGAAGCAAATAGTTGGAAACATTTCAGTCTGAGATCCATAGATTGCTTTTGCAATGTAAAAGCAAAGCCAGAAAGACCAATAGCTGCAGGGTTTCAATCTTTGCAACTGTAAAAACCACCAAATCTAAGATGAAATAGACATGCATACTAGACAAATTAANATATATATATATATATATATATATATATATATATATATATATATATATATATATATATATTGATTAACTAAGATATCTGAATTTCCGCTAAAAATACCCTGAAGCCATGCTTGCATAGAATTATTTGCCCATGACTAAAATACCTTCAGTCAGTCAAGAACAAAAGCATTACAAATACAATTTAGCACATCTCTCTTAAGAAGTTTTGAGAGAAGACAGAATCCAGGTACCATTTTCAGAAATATGAAAAGTAATACTTCAAGTTAATAGTAGCAAAAATGGGTGCAACTGACTTGTAGATGGTGGGCTGAATTACACACACATTAAACTTTAAAAAAATTTATTTAGCAGCCATAATGGAAGAATTCAAGACAATTTGCCTATGGATTTAATAGGATTTTCAATTAGTTCTGATATAAAAGTTAGCACATTTTACAGTGTTAAGAAAAGACACTGCAAAGTTTACATAATTTAATTAGTGACTGATGCTGTTTTCTAAGTTCAGCAGAAAGAGATTGATCAAAGAGTTTTAAGCATAACATCCTCGTAATAAAACCAGACTACTAAAAATAATTTAATATGCTGTAATAAGGATTCAAAATATTCAAATATTGGTTCAAAATTTTCAGATATTTGGGGCACAAAAGATTACTGAAAAATAAATGAATCTTTGAGTTTTTGGTTTTTAATATGCTACAATCTTACTCCTTGTGGTCACACACTACACTCAGCTACTTAAAAGCATTCTAATACAAACAGGAAAACACAATGCTATTGAAAACAAACTGGGCCTCTTACAACAAATTGAATTCACTCTTCAGATATTTTATAGGGGTACTGCAGTCCAAACAACAGGCAAAATAATATATTATTCTATACTCTCAGTCAACATATGAAGTTAACTGACATATTGTTACTACTACTTGGTGCAAATTAAACTCTTGGTATGTTGAATTATTATGAAAGTTTTTTGGTTTATTATAAAGCTCAGCCTGATGCCTCTAAAGATATTGGACTATTGTTGCCATCATATTCAGTACTACGCACCATGAGATAAGATAAGATAAGATAAGATAAGATAAGATAAGATAAGATAAGATAAGATAAGATAGACAGACAGACAAACAGACAGCTATTGGTTGACTAACTTGTAGGGCTGTAATTCAAAATTTCAACTTAGTATCTGGTTGAGATAGGCATCATGAAAATGTTCTAACCAATGAAATGCTGGGGTTTGTATGTTACAATCATTGTCTTTCCTATTAATAGCAAATGCCTTTATCTCACACAAGTTTAAATACTTTACACTAGCACAACCTACTTCTAGGTGCAACTTTTTCTTAGTTCTTATTCCAAAAGGGTTAGGGTTGAAAGTTTACAAAAATAAATTCACAATAAAATAAAATCTACAAAATAATAGAAAGGCAGATCTGTAATGAATAAATAATTAATTCTTAGCAAGTAGGTCTTTTGTCTCGCTGTAGGCATGGAATGGATGGAGTCTACAAATGTCCTTAAACAAGGCTCTGTTTCAACTATAGGCTTAAATCATTTTTAGTTCACATACTGGTATTCTCTTACAGAGCAACCCAGAAATATCAGAAAAAAACTTTATTTTCTCTGTAGAATAAAATAAGGTTTGATAGAAAAACAAACATTACAAATGTCTTATTCACCAGCTCCTGGTTTAAGGGAAATTCCTTCCCTTTCCTCAGTTCTTGATCTCAATATGTTCAGGGATATCTTACAGATCTCCTCTTCTGGAAGACAGTGAACTATTGCTTTTTGGGACATTCACAGTGAACTGCAATATCCTTGGAAAGGGAGCCCTTCCAGGTGGACAACATGAGGAAGCCACTTCATCCATGGCAATCCATTTGCCTCAATACATCCAGATCAAAAAGCCCTTTGCTGACTTCAAAGGTTAGCATGCTTTCCCAATTTCCTGTACATGTGCAGCCCAACAGCTGAAGAATGTAAGCTTCGCCACCTGGGAGCAGCTGCTGGGACAGAAAGCCAGCAAAAAGAGATGTATCAAACACAAACAGCAGCTGCAGAATAAACAGTGCTCACCTAAATGGCTTTTGGCAGCAAGAAACATTTCAGCATTGAAAACTATTGGGGATTCTCTGGTTGTTATCCATTCTAGGAGAAAAAGTTTGAAAAAAAGCCTATGTCAAGTTTAGATTTAGGAAACAGCTGGTAACTGCAGCTGCAGTTCTATGGAAAGAGAGAAAATATTAGATAAAGACATTGAGGGCCTGTGCTCTTAGAAAGAACACTACAGCAAAACATGTATTGATGATTTAAGAGTGACCCTGAGCATTCTCTGCTGCTTTAGAAACATCTCAAAATTTGCTCTCCCCAATCCTTCCCCAGTAATTGGAGTCTGCTTAGAACAGAAAGCTATGCGGAACACAGGTACCTCTGCAGAAAAATTGGCTAATTAGAAGTTCTGAAGCCAGTTCTTTTATCTGTATTATTGTGTTACCTGGGGAGTCAGTCATTATTAAGGTGACCCAAAGAAGAGTGAAAAATCCCCAAATGGCAAGAGCCACTATCTGATAATTTCTTAATCAATGCCAGGCATAAGCATAATATCTCCTTTCTGGCAATGTATTTTCTTTAAAGTGAGTTGCCATATTCAATATTCACTTGCTGAATGCAACATTAGCAATTGGGTTGATATTACAGGGAAAAAAACAGTAAAAAATGAAATGCAAGCTCTTGTATTTGTGACCGGAGATAATAATTCCAGACAACAGAAACATACAGAACCACAGCATTTCTAGTTCTTATTGGGGGCTGGGGTGGGGGTGGTAGGCAATAGATTTATTTTTTCATTCATTTACCAGATTTAAATGCTTTAACGGTTCAAAAGAGCCAACCACACTAATGTTCAGAATGAGAGAACTGGTTTTGGGCAGCACAAAGAATAGAAAACAGAAAAAATAATAATTACAATAGTAATGGGCTGGTTTATAGTTCTGGATTGATTAGACTTGTTAGAATTCTTGCAATTTGAAGTGAAAATAAATACATGCTATTTTGATTTTCTTTGAGAAACAGACATTTCTCCAGCAAAAGGGCACTCTCCTTCCCTTTCCTCCAAGTTCTTTTCAAATCTTTCTTCCCCCCCTCCCCGTTCAGCAACTATCCATTCTCCCCCCTCACCAAATAATTCTGACTAAAATAATCTGGCACATCTCAAAAGGAAAAATGTCTCCAAAATGTTAAAGCATACGCTTGTGCACAATAAGCCCCTTTCAGAATGGGCAATGGTTCAGTGCCCGTGTTGTGCTGCAAACGCAACCTCAGAAAAGGACAAAGCGGGAGACAAGAGAGCAATTAAGCTAAAGAAACGAAAGAGTAAAAAAAAAAAGCACATCCACCCACAAGTCAGAGACCACCCCATGCTGCGGCCAGTGGTGGGCATGCATTCCACACATGCAAGCAAGCAAGCAAGCAAATATAGCAGCCTCCTTCCGGGTCTGTAGGGAAGGTGCAGCAGCAGCTGCTTCTGCTGCTCGCTCTCCCCCCCCCTCCCCAACTGGAGCCACCATTTACCCACAGTCTGTGACAGGTCAATTATGTCCTGCCAAGACAAGGACAGGCGTCATAAAGGGAGAGAATGACGCCTGTAGGTCAGGAACAAGCAGCAGGAGACAGAGGGGCTCCTGCCTTCATCTCTGGCCACAAAACTGAAGAGAAAATAAACCTTACAGGAGCCCTTCAGGGCAGAGATGACGGCTACAGGGAACTTGTTCCAGCAGTAACAGCAGCTGGACCGCAGAGCCTCGCTTCATCTTTTGCTAAGGTTACAACGTTCCTCAAAACTTTTCAGAGAGCATCCCAGGCAAGGCTGTGGAATGGTCAGGGAGCCTCTGAGTGGAGGCTTGGCCCGAAGAAGGCAGGATAGGCATATACACTCACCTGCACCAAGGTGTAGTCCGTTTCTTTCGGATTGGGACTGCGCTGCTTCTTCAAGGGCAGCCCGTTGACAGCAGCAAGGGAAGTTGTCAGAAACAGGAGGCTCAGGACAAGCACAGCTCTGCCTCGGCCTTTAGACATCTCTTCCTCGTAGTCCAGCGCAGCGCCCTTCCTTGCAAGGCTTATCCCCCCCCCTCCCGTTCCCCCCGCTGCGAGGCCGGCGAGCAGGAAGACCGGCCGCGGCGCGCGCTAGTCCACCCTCGCCGAGGCAGCCCGGTCCTCTGGCCGCTTTTCCGCTCCTCTTTGGAAACGGTCGGAGTGAAGGATATCGGATGAGAGAGAGAAAGAGAGAGAGAGGGAGAAAATTGGGCGAGGGAAAGTCTTGCCCCCCCCCCCTGCCACCGCCCGCGGCCTTCAACCCGGCTCGCGTTTCCTCCGGTCTCTCAGCTCCGCGCCGTTTTCTGAGCACCAGATTTTATTGCCCGGCTTTTGAGCTGGCGCCCCGTCAGGAGCCGGTGCTGAAGGAAGGCAGGCAGGCGCTGGCGCGAGAAAGAGCCGCAGACTGGGAAAGGTGCAGGAAGAAGAGGAGGAAACGGCTCCCCTCCGGTGTCCCGCGGCGAGAAGTCCGATTTCTTCCGCCGCCACTCCGGCTGGCCCCCCGCACGTGGCTCAGCCGTGACGCCCAGTTAATCTCGAGAAGCGGCGCTCAGACACTCCCGAAGCCGCCCGGTTTCCACGGAGCGAAGGCAGTGAAACGCTTCTGGCTCGGGAGGTGAGAAAACACGAATCCCTCCGGCCGAGCAATCTCTTCGGGTCGCCTCAGAACCGCCGCTGCCGTCTCCTCCTCCTCCTCCTCATCCCGAAGCCCGGATCACCTTCGGAAGAAACCCACGTGCCCCCGTGGCCGATCCACACGTCGCCCACCTCTGGAACCCGGCCAGGCGCCGCGTTTCCCGCAGCCGCCGCATCTCCCGGCCTCCGATTACCTCGGCTGCTGCTGTGCCTGCCGCAGCTGCGGCGAGCTCCCGGCCGCTCCTTTGCCGGAGGCGTCCCATTTCGTTCGCATTTTGCAGGCTGCGCCTCGCCGCCCTTCGCGTGACTCAAGCCGCCCTCGAAGACTCTGGGCAGCTCTTTGTCCTGCAAACTCTCCGGCCAGTTGCCTCGCCGCCGCTTCCCCGGAGGCCGGTTCCAAGGCTGTCGCTCCTGTGGCGCTAGGCACTGTCGCTTCCCCCTCCCACCCCGAGTCACCCTCGCTTGTCTGCCCGGCGCCGCCGCGCCGGTTCTTCCCCAACCCCGGCGCCTTCCTTCCCCGTAGCAACCCGGGGCCTTCGCTGGCTCTTCTCGGCTCGCCTTCCTTCCCTGGCCTGGCGCCCCCGCGGCTTCCTCAGTCCGGCACTTTCGGGGTGCGGACCTGCCTGCTCTCGGATTTCGCGCAGCGCTCGCCGTCTCCTCGCGCGCTCCCTGAAGCCGAGCTTCGTCCGCAGCTCTTGCTCTCCCTCCAGCGGTTTGGCTTCCCTCGCCCGCTGCCTTCCGTGACGTTGCCCGCGGGAGGATCCTTGCTGGCAGGCCCGGGCGTGAGTGCGTGCCACGGGAATGAATAACACGCACCCGCGCAACACCCCCCCTCTCCCAGTAAGGAAAATGGAGAGGTAGAAAATCACCTGGCAACAGCTCCTGTCTGGGAGATTACTCTTACAACAGGCGTGATTTACTACGGCTTCGGGGTCCATCTTGGGACAAAACGTGGATCTGAGGTTCCAAATGATTTTCGTTAATTTGTGTTTTTATGACGTCCGCTAAACCGCTATATAATTACGTTACCACACGAAGCCAATTGTCACAAATAAAAATACAATATTTGATGCTGCCACGGTGCAAAAGCATAAATCTGAAATATTATAAATGGTACCATTTTTTCTACATGAAACCACAACTGCACATTATAGTCTGATTGGTCCCATCTCAAGTTGTATGTACTCTGCTTACAATGAGACACAATGATCACGTAACTGACCTTTTTGAGATCCAAAAGTACAACTCGGCACCAAAGTATGCTCTGGGGGAAGGATCCTTATGATTCCTATATGGCACTTGCAGCAATCATCCTGATTCATGCACAAAAGGATGAATCCAAGAATCCAAAATGAATCCATTTTGAAATCAGATTCACCTAATATTAAATAATCCGTAAATTGGGATCTCAGGTACAGAGCAAAACACTGTATAATTTATGATTGTCAGAATACACTCTGTAGGTATGAAAGATTCAGATGGAGTTCTTGAAAGAAACCTGAAAGCAATTCATGTTTTGAATCCATCTTATGCATCACAATGGGGGTCCAAAAGAATGCTGAATTTGACACTACAATGATTTCTTGTATGTAGAATAGAATAGAATAGAATAGAATAGAAAGCTGGAAGGGACCTTGAAGATCTTCTAGTCCATCCCCCTGCTCGAGCAGGAGAACCTATATCATTTCAGACGAGTGACTGTATAGTCTCTTCTTAAAAATCTTCAGTGAGGGAGCGCCCATGATTTCTGAAGGCAAGCTTTCCACTGGTTAATTGTCCTCACTGTTAGGAAGTTTCTCCTTAATTCCAGATTGCTTTTCTCCTTGATTAGTTTCCATCCATTGTTTCTTCTCCTGCCATCTGGTGCTTTGGAGAATAGTTTAATGCCCTCTTCTTTGTGGCAGCCTCTCAAATACTGGAACACTGCTATCATGTCTCCTCTATTTCTTCTTTTTTTTAGACTAGCCCAGTGGTGGCGAACCTATGGCATGGGTGCCAGAGGCAGCACTCAGAGCCCTCTCTGTGGGCACGCACGCCGTTGCCCCAGTCCTAGGCCTTCAGCTAGGTTTTATAAAAACCTTTTTGCTTTAGGCCTCTGCCATGTGCAAAAAAAAAAAAAAGGTTCAGTCAATTTCAAGTTCTCGCGGAGAAAAAAAAGATATTGCAAACTTGGAACTCATTGATTGAACTTTTTAGTCCCACTGCAGCCATGCCCACCCAATGGGCCACACCCAGCCAATGGGCCACACCCACCCGGCACTCGACAATGCGTAAGTGGGTTTTGGGTTGCAGTTTGGGCACTCAGTCTCTAAAAGGTTTGCCATCACTGGACTGGCCAAACCCAAGTCCTGCAGCCATTCTTCATGTTTTAGTCTCCAGGCCTTTGATCATTTTAGTTGCTCTTCTCTGAACTTTTTCCAAGGTCTCAAACCATCTTTTTTGTAGTATGGTGACCAAAATTGGTTGCAGTACTCCAGGTGTGGTCTCACTAGGATTTTATAAAGCAATACTAATACTTTGTGTGATCTTGATTCTATGCCCGTTTATACAACCCAGGATTGTATTAGCTTTTTTGGCTGCTGCTGCACACTGCTACCTCATAGTCAAGTGATCATCCATTAAGACTCCAAGGTCCCTCTCACAGTTGCTGATTTTGAGCCAGCTACAGATCCATCTGATGGTGGTGTTGTCTATCCCATCTTTTTCTAGCTTACTAAGTAGCAGGTTGTGGTCTACTTTGTCAAATGCTTTACTGAAGTCTAAGTATACTATGTCTACTACCATATATACTCGAGTATAAGTCGACCCGAGTATAAGCCGAGGGACCGATTTTCCCACAGAGAACTGGGAAAAATTGGTGACCCGCGCATAAGCCGAGGGGGCATTTTGGCTGTTCCTCCCTGGCCGCCTCGGCCCCCCCGGCCCTGTCAGTGAGCGCCCGGCAGGGCGCAGCGTCGCCAGGCCTCCCCCCTTCGCGCGAGGNCGCTGCCTTCCGTGACGTTGCCCGCGGGAGGATCCTTGCTGGCAGGCCCGGGCGTGAGTGCGTGCCACGGGAATGAATAACACGCACCCGCGCAACACCCCCCCTCTCCCAGTAAGGAAAATGGAGAGGTAGAAAATCACCTGGCAACAGCTCCTGTCTGGGAGATTACTCTTACAACAGGCGTGATTTACTACGGCTTTGGGGTCCATCTTGGGACAAAACGTGGATCTGAGGTTCCAAATGATTTTCGTTAATTTGTGTTTTTATGACGTCCGCTAAACCGCTATATAATTACGTTACCACACGAAGCCAATTGTCACAAATAAAAATACAATATTTGATGCTGCCACGGTGCAAAAGCATAAATCTGAAATATTATAAATGGTACCATTTTTCTACATGAAACCACAACTGCACATTATAGTCTGATTGGTCCCATCTCAAGTTGTATGTACTCTGCTTACAATGAGACACAATGATCACGTAACTGACCTTTTTGAGATCCAAAAGTACAACTCGGCACCAAAGTATGCTCTGGGGGAAGGATCCTTATGATTCCTATATGGCACTTGCAGCAATCATCCTGATTCATGCACAAAAGGATGAATCCAAGAATCCAAAATGAATCCATTTTGAAATCAGATTCACCTAATATTAAATAATCCGTAAATTGGGATCTCAGGTACAGAGCAAAACACTGTATAATTTATGATTGTCAGAATACACTCTGCAGGTATGAAAGATTCAGATGCAGTTCTTGAAAGAAACCTGAAAGCAATTCATGTTTTGAATCCATCTTATGCATCACAATGGGGGTCCAAAAGAATGCTGAATTTGACACTACAATGATTTCTTGTATGTAGAATAGAATAGAATAGAATAGAAAGCTGGAAGGGACCTTGAAGATCTTCTAGTCCAGCGCCCTGCTCGAGCAGGAGAACCTATATCATTTCAGACGAGTGACTGTATAGTCTCTTCTTAAAAATCTTCAGTGAGGGAGCGCCCATGATTTCTGAAGGCAAGCTTTCCACTGGTTAATTGTCCTCACTGTCAGGAAGTTTCTCCTTAATTCCAGGTTGCTTCTCTCTCTGGTCAATTTCCAACCATTGTTTCTTGTCCTGCCCCTCTGGTGCTTTGGAGAATAGTTTAATGCCCTCTTCTTTGTGGCAGCTTCTCAAATACTGGAACACTGCTGTCATGTCTCTTCTATTTCTTCTTTTTTTTTAGACTAGCCCAGTGGTGGCGAACCTATGGCACGGGTGCCAGAGGCGGCACTCAGAGCCCTCTCTGTGGACATGCGTGCTGTCACCCCAGTCCTAGGCCTTCAGCTGGGTTTTATAAAACTTTTTTGCTTTAGGCCTCTGCC